GAGGGAGAGGGAGAAGCAGGCTCCCCGCTGAGCAGGGAGCCCAATGCGGGGCTTGATCCCAGGACCCTGGGATCATGACCTGAGCTGAAGGCAGACACTTAATGACTGAGCCACCCAGGTGTCCCCCTAAAAACATATAAAGGCCAGTGTGAATTTATTCCTAAGTAGTAATTTTTTAAAATTATCAGAATGTAATGAGATACCACCTTACACCAGTTAGAATGACAAAAATTAACAAAACAGGAAACAACAAATGTTGGCAAGGATGCGGAGAAAGGGGAACCCTCTTACAATGTTGGCGGGAATTCAAGCTGGTGCAGCCACTTTGGAAAACAGTGTGGAGGCTCCTCAAGACATTAAAAATAGAGCTACCCTACGACCCAGCAATTACACTACTGGGTATTTATCCCAAAGACACAGATGTAGTGAAAAGAAGGGCCATATGCACCCCAATGTTCATAGCAGCAATGTCCACAATAGCCAAACTGTGGAAAGAGCCGAGATGCCCTTCAACAGATGAATGGATAAAGAAGATGTGGTCCATACATACAATGGGATATTACTCAGCCATCAGAAAGGATGAATACCCACCATTTGCATCGACATGGATGGAACTGGAGGGGATTATGCTAAGTGAAGTAAGTCAAGCAGAGAAAGACAATTATCATATGGTTTCACTCATATGTGGAACATAAGGAATAGCACAGAGGACTACAGGGGAAGGGAGGGAAAACTGAAGGGGGGGAAATCAGAGAGGGAGACAAACCATGAGAGACTCTGGACTCTGGGAAGTAAACTGAGGGTTGCTGAAGGGAGGGGGATTGGGTAACAGGGTGATGGGCATTAAGGCGGGCACGTGTTGTGATGAGCACTGAGTATAATATGCAACTAATGAATCATTGAACACTACATCAAAAACTAATGATGTACTATATGGTGGCTAACTGAACATAATAAAAAAATTTAAAAAAATAAAATTGTATTTTTAACAATGAAAAAATTATCAGAATGTTGATTTTTTTAAAAAAAAATTACCAATATATATCTGTATCTGTATATTCATTATTTTAACATTCAAACTGCAAATGAAGGCCAATTTATATAAGCACTAAAAAAAAAAAAGCTTTACTTTGTTTTAATCCTGGGAACAATACGATTATGTAAAAATGTCCCTTTAGAATGGAAAGTTATAAAGAGGGAAGTGAAAAATCATGTGTTCTATGAAATGATTTATGTTCCCTTTCCTCCATCCTGCTGTCTCTCTCTCTCTCCCCACATATACAAACTCACAGATGTATTTAGAAACATAACCATTTAAGATACTCTGTGACCTGCACTTTTCTTTTTTCAAAATAACCGCCGAGGATTCTGATGAGTAAGGCAAACAGCGTGAGCCTGTGAGGGCAGGGGAAAGCCATCCAGGGCTGACTGGGGGGTGGGGGGGTCTCCGAGGTGTCCTCAGGCTGTCCCTTCTGTCCTCGTCACTGAGCACCTTGTATCTCAGAGAGCACATCTTGGTCAGAGACGCCGTTGGAGTTGCAGCTCTTACTGGTACCGCGAGCAGCCCTCCAGCCAGCAAGAAAGAGGAAGACACAGAAGACTCAGGCCCCTCCCTTTCAGGGAGCCTTCTCTTCCTGGAAGCCAAGAACCACCACTGAGTCCCCACAGAGTAAACTCAGGGCAGCACAGAAATGGTGAAGTGAAGTGTTTGTTCTACGTGGCCAAAGGCCTAGCTAAAAACATGCAGTTTCTATCAGGAAAGGGGGGAAAAAAACAGATACTGGGGCTCTTCGACGGTCTCTGCCAGAGATGGCTTCCATATTTGGTGGCTGTTTAATATTCTATTTTACGGAGGTATCAGAATGCATTTTACTATGTTAGGGAATTTCCGAATTTATTATTATCTTACACAGTTTTATAATAAATAAATTTCCTCATAAATACGTCTTGAAATTTCTCTCTGATAATATTACTGGAATACTCTCAGAACTGAAATGACAGGGTCCAAAGCATTAAAATTTAAATCTTCTAAGTAGGGTAGTGCCAAAAAAATTGTCCAAATGTGCACTCCCCTTGAGCTGAACGTAATATGGCCCATTTTCCTATATTTTCACCAGCATGATGCATCATCTATTTTGTTCATTTATCAGGCCCAAATCCAAATTACTCAATTTTCGTTTGCTTTCAAATTTGGTTAGGCGTCCTTTCGCATGCTTATGGGTCACTGTAGTCAAGTTAAATGTTAGCTGGGGCTTCGTCTCGGTCTGCCAGCCCTGAGTGGGGGGCCATAACCTTCCAGGAGCTGCTTGCTGGGCCACCGCTGTGGCTCCACGCCCCACCAGGGCTGTTGCTCTTACCGGAAAGGCACAGCCTTACGTGAGAATTTGCTCACCCCTCTGCCTGAACCGATCAGCCTTCTCATCCCCACGACGACCTGACTTGCTCCTGCCCTTCTCGGGGCATCCACTAAAGGAACACCTTATCAGCAGCCTCACTGCTCTAAACGAAATAGCCAGCCTTGTCCTGCTTCTGATACTCCCTACATTCTTACCCTTCTTGATTATTTTTCCACAGGACTGATTACTTGTGACACAGGATGTCATTTACTACCTATATGTGCATCTCAACCCATAAGAATATAAGCACCACGAGAGCAGTGATTTGTTCTCTGTTACGGGATTCACAGAGTTCAGAGCAGTGCCTGGCACAGAGCAGACCCTCACTTCTTGACTAGATGAATAAATCCATGTACAAAACATGATGTTGTGGAGCTCTGGAGATAAAATACGTATTTTTGCAAATGGCTTTGCAATACAAACTATTTTCTTGGCAATACAAAACTTAGGGTTTTTTTTTTTAAGTTAGTGATTAGTTTGTTGTTTTTTTTTTTCCTATTTTATCAAACCTATTTTTTTTTTCTAGATTCTTCTCTGGGAACATCTATTATTTATGTGCTAAAAATTCGTAATACATTTTTTCCTTCACAATCAAACATCATTCCTTCCATGAACAGTGTTGGTGTGATTGTTCTCTGCCTGATGTTATAGTAGCTGTCAGGAATGTAACCATGAACAAGACAGACAAGTTTGCTACATCCACGGAGCTTACTTCATATAGATAGCTAACACACACAGCTAGTGTCTGAATGCTTGTGTCCCCACAATTCATGTGTTGAAATCTTATTGCCCAGTGTGACGCTATTAGAAGGTCTCTGGGAGGTACTTAAGGTCATGGGCTGGGCCCTCAGGAATGGCGTTAGTGACCGTATAAGAGGCTACAGAGAGATCCCTGACCCCTTCCCCCACATGAGGATTCAAGGACACGTCTGCAAGGGCCTTCACCTGACTGTGCTGGCACCCTGGTCTCAGGCTTCCAGCCTCCGGAACTGTGGCAGTCCATTTCTGCTGTTAACAAGCCACCAAGTCTATGGTACTTTGTAGCCCACATGGACCAAAACACATGTCAGGTTTTAAACTGAACTAAGAATCTTAGTCCAGCTCTGTTCCTCTTTCTAGAAGCATTGTGCTGATGGCTGGTACTTCCATTCACACTCATTGTCATTGCCAGAAACCTTGCTTCGCAAGTTAATTTCTTCTTATTTTTCTCCTTTTACAACAAATCAGTCACCGACACTGCCAATTCTACTTCCTGACTTCCAAATCTCTTCTGTTCTCCCCATACCCACTCTCTCTGATTCATGTCCAACAACCTTAACCTTCATCGGAAATAGTGCATAGACTCATCCCTGGTCAACCTCAACCCACATGTGTCTCCTTTGGAAATGTAACTGGACTTCCATCAGAGAGACTGCTCTGTATGGAATGTCAGCCATCAGTCTACTAGCTCCCTGTCCTCAGAACCATATGCAAACCTGGTCTCACAATTCACACACTCTGTTGTGCCCTAACTCCCTTCAACTTTTCCTCTTCCATCTGGAAGCCCATCTACAATGACTTACCCTTCCCTATGTCATGCTCTCTGTGTGTCTATGTGTTCTAGGTGCCCTTCTGTGTCCTAATCTCATGCCCAGGAATGACCACACCCATTTCCAGAACCCTTTTAGCTGTCTAATCCCTGATTATGCCTCATAATAGTAGTTTAATAATAATAAAAAATAGTCACAGTGGCAATATGTGCAAACAGGAGAAAAAATATTCATCTTGAATGTTTTTATTTATGCTAGGAACTTGGTAAAACATTCTATAAACATTTCTGCACTGAAGATTCAGCTCAGATACCAGCTCCTCAAAGAAATTTTCTTTGATAATTTTCTCCCAACTATTGGGTACTCCTCCAGTATGTTTTCACATGTGTTAAGAGGCAGTATGTATCAGACAGGGTCCACACAAGACAAAAGACACCACTCCATATAGATGAAGCAATTAAACTTAATACAGAGATTTCAGAGTCTGGTGTTCAAACACTGAAAACAAAAAGAGGGAATATGGAGGAAACACTAAGGTGATATCTGCAGGAAGCACCTGGCAGTCAATTCTAAGGTGGAGGGGTAGTAAAAGAAGGAGCTGAAGTTATCAAAATAAAAATGCTGCAAAATTAGGATGCACACCTCGGAGGAAGGGGCTCGGTGGAGTGCTGTTGGTGTTTTAGAGCCTGGACATGGGAGTGCCAGTTCCTCAGCAGGTGGGATTAGGTGGGCTCTAGAGTGATGGGATTAGCCTGGATCAGAAACTAACCACTACTTCTGGAGCGAAGGGTCACTGTGGACAGGAACCGAGAAATAAGTAGGTTCTTCTCTCACCCTGGTTTTCTTATCTCTGTCTTTGCTCCTTAATGGCAGAACCTAATGGGAGGTAGGCTGACCAGAGTAATTTGGAGTTTGTAGAATTCCATCCCCAGTACCAGAGAGAAGAGTATCATGCCTGGCATTGTCCTCTGTTGCTGGTCAAGTTCATGCTGCTCCTCTCTTCTTGATGCTACAATAGTATTACCACCACCAACACCACCACCACAACAAAATAATAAAGAGAAAGGTTGTTTACCTGTGTCATTCAGGATTCAATCAGAAGACAGAAGCCTCTGGAAGTTAGTAAAATGGTCTATGTGAGGTTGATGCTTCTTTGTGTATGGCTGGAGCCAGAAGTCCACCGGGCAACCGAAGATGGATTTGAAGTGAAGGGAGCAAGACAAGCGGAAACCTGCAAGGATCAGATAGAAGCCAAGATAATGGTCATCAGCCTCTCACTGTTTCCAAGCCTCCAACTTAGAAATGGACGTGTCCTGCAGGAGAAGCTCACACTAAACTCACACCTGGAGCTAAACATTCATCTGACCCAAGAGTTGTAAAAGCTGAAGGAGAAACTCTGGCTGGACCTGGAGGAGTTGGGAACTGGCTATTTTCTCAAGCCAAGCATGTGAGTGGCAGCTTATGTCCTTCACTGACCATCCATGTTTAAAAAGCACATGGCTACTGCTTCCAAATCTTCCAAATTTCATGAAAAATATCTCATATGCATGAAGCTAACCTGAAAATTTGCATGGAAGGAAATTTTGAGAAACCTAGTTCTAGCTTAGCTAAATGGATGTAATATAAAACTAAAAATGTGACCTGCATATCAACACTATAAATATGTATGTATATATGCTTATAATATTGATTTTCTCTTCCCTTCTACATTCTTTTTCTAAATGATGCCATTCAATTTCATGGTGGTTAGTATCATCTATATGTAGAAATATTCTCATTGTATATACTCGACAGATTTGTCTTCTAAGTTTCATAGTAATATTTAACTAATTACCAACTCAACATCTCCTTTGGAGCATAATTCCAAAATTTAATTTGCATACATTACAGGCAGACCTCAGAGACACTGTAGGTTCAGTTCCAGACCATTGCAATAAAGCAAATATCTCAATAAAGCGAATCAAATGAATTTTTTGGTTTCCTAGTGCAGACAAAAGTTATGTTCACACTATATTGCAGTCTATTGAGTGTGCAGTCACATTAGGTCTTAAAAAAAAAAACAATGTGCATACCTTAATTGAAAAATACGTTATTGCTATAAAATGCTGATCACCATCTGAGCCTTCAGTGACTCATAATCACTGATCACAGATCACCATAACAAAAATAATAATGGAAAAGTCTGAAACATGCAAGAATTACCAAAATGTGACACAGAGACAGGAAGTGAGCAAATGCTGTTGGAAAAATGGTGCCAAAAGATTTTCTCAGTGCAGGGTGACCACAAGCCTTTGATTTGTTAAAAAGGTATCACCCTGACCTCACTCCTCAATTTTGTCTTCTCACACACGTTTAGTAAATGATACATGTGTAGATCCAGAAAGTGGGGAGTTACACTTGATATCTTTCTCTCCTGCAAACTCCACTTCAATTTGGTCACTTAGATCTGTTGACTCCCTCTCAATTTCATCAATTTCTCACCATCCTGTACTTTCAGCCCAAGCTGAGACACCATCATCTCTCACCTGAACTACCACAAGCATCTCTTAATGTCATTAAAATACGCAAATTCTCCTTTTTTTTTGTTTTTGTTTTTTTTTTTTTTGTTAGAGGAAACAGTGGGGAATAGAAAGAATGGATTTTGTGATTATGACACTAATCAAATTAGATGGATCAGCTAATGGCATTCTGTAATGGGCATTTCCTGTACTGTTGGGAATATTTAATTCTGCTATAGAAGACAGGAAAGCAAATAGGATGGATGGAATTCGTAAGAAGTATTAAGCACAGATAGTAATATACTAGAAAGTAAATGTAAGAGTTCTAGGTAAAACTCAAAGGAGAGATTTAGTATATATAATGAGTAAGACATAACTTGTGAGACATGGACAGAATTCATATGATCTGGTAAATACAGATAGTAAGTTAGTAATATGTGAGACATGCCAAAGATAGAAAAAAATAGAAGATGCAGTAGAACAAAAATAGGCGGCTTAAAGATACAAAGGGATAGAAAGACCCCCATCATGATCACACCACCTTTAGAGAAGAACTTTTTCTAAAGTTTATTTTTTTAATTAATTTATTTTTTTAAGATTTTATTTACTTATTTGACAGAGAGAGAGACAGCAAGAGAGGGAACACAAGCAGGGGGAGTGGGAGAGGGAGAAGCAGGCTTCCCGCCAAGCCGGGATCCCGATGCGGGGCTCGATCCCAAGACCCTGGAATCATGGCCTGAGCCAAAGGCAGACGCTTAACGACTGAGCCACCAGGCGCCCCGAGAAGAACTTTTTCACATCAAAATTGGCCACCATTTGTTGTCACCCAATATGGTTCCATTTGGATTCTACATATGCTCTACTCGAGAAACAAAAATAAGACCAGAGGCTGTTCAACAAGGTGACTGGCAGCTTCTCTTGCCTCAAGTGCACTTCCCCTGCAACTCCAGGGCGGGTAGGTGTGTGTCGGTAGATGAAGAGATTTTCCTCTGTGACCCTCCATTGTTCTGACTGCAAGGCTGGTCGTCATTGCCAAGCCATCTGTTGCGAAGGCTGACACAGCAAGAGAGAAGCAGGATTTATAAAAAATGTCCACATCAGGACTCAGGGAGTGTGGCCCTTTTACCCATCTTGCGCTATCTGAGTGTATTCCCTTACCTCTTTTCGTTCTTGCTTCTTGCTCAGTATTTTAATTAATCCAATAAGCTATGTTATTTGGTCATTTTAATTTGGTCTGTAAGTCTTTTTGTTGTGTGACCTCTGGGACAGCGGGGTGGTTAGTGTCCTTGACGGCTATCACTGTGTCATGGTAACTCCCCACAAAACGAATACTCAGTGACTGTAGGGGCCTTTGGTCTTGGAAGGAGACGTGGGAAGGAGGCAAATGCTTCTCAGCACCATGATGCCACGGCTGTTAACTTTAAAGTCGGCTCAAAGTCAAATTAATAAAATAAATTTATAATCTGTAATGAGACTAAACTATGTATTCTTTGGGAGAAAATTTGATAAACTTGTAACTGGTATGTTTGCCCTCAAGTAACTGGTGAGGAAAACCATCTTTAACTTTCACTGTTGGAGAGAAGGAGGAAAATTCCCCATCTCAAGATAATGGAGCCCCTGGTTTTTACCGGAGTTAGCAAAACCTAGGCAGGAGAAAGCCTCCACCAGCATCAGTCAAACATGTGAGGCACCGGACTTGGAAAGATCCAAGGAGGAAAAAGGAGCCTGGAACTCACTGGGGAGTTTCAGTTTCTGAAGGAAGGCAAGTCGAAGAAATGCTGTTATGACAAGTGGGCTTTGGAACGATTTGGATTTTGAAGATAAGGAGAAATGATATCAGTACCCAACACGTACACAGAGCACACATGGGAACTCCCAAACTAGGGCACACAGGTGCACGCACGCGCACCCTGGGGTGCGAGAGCAGGAAGGCAGGCCTCTCTCAGCCCCACTCTGTCCTGCTTCCATGGGTTCTCCGTCTCACAAACATTTGATCCTCTCCTAGAACTCAGTGACAATTTTCAGGAAAAACACATCCTTGTTTTCTAATAATTTTAGAACTGGAGAAGGAGGGTTTTGGCTTCCTCCCTAACTGAAGAAAACCACTGAAGAGAAGACACCCCCTGAGCATGAGGAACCCGGAGACTCACATTTTCTTAGGCAACAGGTGATGTCCTCACAGGCCAGCAGGCAACAGGAAGGAGAGGCCTGCCCAGCCGAACTCCTATGAGAAGCCCCGTCTCCTGATCACATCAGACCCCGCTCCCACCCCTGCCTCTGACTAGTTCTTCAGACAGCAGCCAGAGGGACCTTGGATCAAATACAGAATCCTCAACAGGCCCTCCTGACCTCGCTCATTCATTTCATACTGTTTGTGCTCTCTGAGTCACACTCAGCCGAGCGATTTCTCACCTTGGGGCCTCCACACACTCACACGTAGCTCCCTCTGCTTGAAATAATCTTCCTGTCAATGTCCACGGGCTTAGCTCACACGCCTCCTTCAGCCATCCCTTAACAGGTACTTCTGCACAGAGGCTTGTCTGACCCCTAATATAAACTAGGTGCCCTGTTATCTACTTGCATTCAAGTTAGCGATTTCTTTCTCCTTCAGCGCACTTGTCACAGTTTGGATTAATACACCTCCCAATGTGGACGGAATAGGCTCCATCAGAGTCAGGACCATGCCTACCTTATTCCCATATCACAGCTCCTACCTGACCATGTGAAACAGAACTGGTGCTCAGAAATATTAACGAGATGAGAAAAACTCCCCCAACTAATATAGATCTTCCCCCAAATTATGTGGATTCGCCGATGCCACAAAGACCGGAGAGTATGCTAGATGGGAAGGAAATAAAATCATATGTAGATAATAATTTGAATATCCTTTTTGACTCAAAGTGTTTTATCTTCATGCCAAGATACCAGAAGCACATCATTAGATACACGGTCTTCATGATTCTTTTAAGAGTGTTAGATATTGATAAGGACTCCTAGAAAAATAAGAGTCATGACTTGAGAGACTCATTCCACGTCTTTCCAATTCTATTTGAACAAGAGAAAATCTTCTGAACAAAGAGATTTGTAGCTTTCAGAATGGATTTCCTTTCATTTCCATTCAGATCACTGGGTGACCCCTCAGATCAACCCCGCATTTGCAGGGAGAGATGCTGATAACATGCGGAAGCTTTCCTGACGTGGGACCTACACAGTGATCTATGCTACCTCGGAGGGGGTCATCTTGGTGACACGGCTATAATATTACCTCATGAAGGACTCAGAGATATCGTCCAGTTCTGATTTCTTCCTAGAGTATAACGCAGTCAGCTGTGACGATCTCAACTTCATTATATCGCCCCTGGCTTCCGAATACAACAAATCATCCCATGACCCCAGATCATGACTTGCTATGCTCAAGACAAAAACATGTCTTATGTATAAAGTGGGGGTTATTTGTATCCTTTAATAATTTTTCAGTCGTTGTTGCTATTGTTTTTAAGTCCAAAACTAATATAAAGTGATATTATATTATGCATCCTTAAAGCTTTCAGTTGTTTGTCTGCTACGAGAGAACTCATCTACCCAAGGGATATGTTCAGGTAAAGCGCACTGACCACTGTTGGGATTTGTGGGTGATGGTTAATTACATTCTTCTGCCTCCCACTGAGTTCTAAGAAGCGCACACACTATTCAGGGAAATAGAAATAAAAACAGCCGCTTTGTTAC